TGAACGAAAAATGCTAGTTTTGCACCGCGAATGAATTATTCAACTAACAGCTATTTCCGGCGGTGGTGAGTGGTTGTTTCCGGCTAGCCGTGGCTGTCACCATTCCTGCACCGTGACTTGTCATTGACACTGACACATGTCGAGCCCGTCATCGCTGGCGGTAGCTTGGGCACCGTCATACAACTCGTCGCAATACTGTCATGACCGATGACCATGTCATCTATCGTAACAAGTCGAGAGTAACAACTACAGCTAGGGTAGCTCCAGCTGAACTCAACATCTAACACTAATCAGATGCCCCTGACCCTCTCTGTCCCGTCCTTATCGCTCCACTAGACTCACCGAGCGGCGGCTGGAGCATGCCGTCGTTCTTCTCGCAGTGGCCGATCGGGTGGATCTCGTTCGAGTCGACCAGCCGCCAGAAGTCGTTCTTGTTGTCGCCACCGTCCAGCCGCAGTCTCAGCCGCGGCCCCAGCACGCCCACCACGGTGGCGATGCAGGTCGAGGTCACGTTGCGCGGGTCGAGCGCCTCCAGCTTCATGTCGGGCTGGAACTCGTTGGCGGGCGGCGTGTGGCGCTGCTTGAAGCACGCCTGCGGCGCCGGCTTGCTCTCTGTCTCTCGCAGGTACTCTTCCCAGTCGAACTGCTGGATCGCCTCGGCGATCGCCATCGACGCCATCGACGGACGGTGACCTGACGGGAGGGGGAGATGGGAAAGTCAGAGGTCAGCAACGTGGATACTCTGGGACGAGGCGCATAGACTAAGGGGTTTAATGCAGCAGCGGGTGGTGCAACGAATACCTGGTCGTCTGGGCGATGAAAAAAAAAACATTCACGTTGAAGAAACAAGCTAACGCACGCATGTTTATTCTTCGTCAAAAAGCGATGGTCTGGAACTTGGAAGGTCAGAGTCCATATACATTATACACCTACACAAAAGACGGAGATATCAGGTAAAGAGCCCCGAAATGCCGCATTCTTCAACTCTATACAGCGAACAAACCGCATTCTTCAACTCTATACAGCGAACAATATTTGACTTCTTGCGAAGAAAACATTCTTCCTTTTTAAATTGTTCAATGCAAGAGAACTCCAGACCAGACAAGGTTATTGCCCTATTGTTTCCCAGTCAAAACTTATCGACGACATTCCATGCAAGAAGGTACAATAGATTATTTGATCAGGAAATACCTAGAGCATCGACGGAAAACGACTGATATAGCTGCCAGTTCCAAAAGTCAGATAACAACGCCTAGTACTTAATAGTGATCGTTTTAATAAGCCGCCTTGCTAACCTCAAAGGTTCAGCACCATAAGTATAGGATTTCGGCTCATATAATAAGAAACCTACGCCCGAATTGAGTTCAAAAGATATACCTATCAATATATGAATACAAACATAGCAATGCCCAACAGCGATCCCAAACGATCTCAACACGTATGTTTAGCAATAAGGAATCTTACATATGTAATTTAATGAGCGGGTCTAAAACAATCAGCAAGTTTCCCGCTTCGCCGATACATTCCGAAGCGAACAATCCATACGCTGATGCCTGAGGCGACCAATCAGTGGCCGCTACTCGCTGTGAGCGTCCACGGCCGCGGGGGCAACACGTGACCCAGACGGGGTCACCGCGACGACCGACCGGCCAGCCGCGACTCGCGAGGGAGGCGATCACAGAACACGTCAGGTGAGCAGGCATTGGTTAATATGCTCCAATTAACCAGCTATGGGCTCCTAAAACGGGTGCACTTGTTGACAAGTGTGATAACAATATCTCTGATATTCATCAAGCGCTTTGTGAGCAGTATAACGAGGCTGTAGCGATAAGAGTTGATTGATTTGATACCAGCCTGTTATCGGAGGGTTTTGCCAGCATATGAGCGGGACCGCGAGGAAATGTCGGCTAATGACATCACAAAGGCCCATCGACTCAGCCGCGGCGCTATCACAACAACACTGGTGACAACGGTAAATAAATAAAACAAGCGTGGCTCAATAGGCAAATGAGAACGGTACGCAGGGTTCCAGATAGGCAGATATGACTTGTCTAACATACCCTGTCTCACCGATTTTTGCCGCCATCTTCAGTATCTCGGAGGTCCACCCTTTGTGTCCCCGTTCCCCGACGCGTCTCACACGTAGCCTCACACCCCGCGCCATGATCTGAGTGTTCGTACCGAGCGGTGCCGCTGCACGGCCGCAGCGCCCACACCACTGGCCACCCGTCGGCACCGTCACAGCCGAGTGGCGTCCGCACTCCCCGCTGCGGGAGCCCGGCCTCCCCACCCCTCCCCCACCTCCCCTACAGACAGCAGCTCGCACCGGCGTGCACAGCGAGCGACCCCACCGGCCACGGCAGTCCGACACACACTCTCTGACCGGGCCGCACCGCCGCAGCCCCGGCGGTATCACACACAGACCGGCATCAGCCGCCAGAGCCGCACGTAAGCCGGAAGCTTGCAGCGACACCAGTGGCCGCTGGCTGTTCCGTTGAACGGGGGAGGGGTGGTAAGGGGGGAGGGGAGAGAGGGGAAGGTCAAGGCCCGCCGGTGCATGGAATATAATGGAAAGTCCAGGCTGTAGTGCTGGGTAGCAACCAAACTTACGTAGGCACATGTGCAGAAAGAAGGTTGTTGACGAGCCATAATTTTCAGGAACGAAAAGGTTGATTCAGTTCGCCAACAACACTGGATCATGCACGCCAGAAAAAATACCCGAATGACGAAAAGACACTTTGAAATATTATACCGAAAGGTGTCCATTTTAAGTCACAATCGACTTTATCAAAGGATAGTGTGATAAGCTACTGAAGATTCTTACCCTGCCGGTTGTACAGATTACAAACGGATATCGGTAGTGGATGCCTGTGTTTAGTGCAGTGAAGTGAAGTACTGTCATATCGATCCGCAGCCATTACCGCGTGCCCCCGATGTCTCGCCCCCGCCCCCTCTCCCCCCCCCCCCCCGCCCGGCCAGCCGCCGTCACTCACCTCGTTTGTGCGTGGTACCGTTGCCGGTTCCGGCGGTCAGTGTGGAGGAGGGTGACGCCGCCTGGTGCCGGGCCCGGCAGTCGGCGGAGCAGAACAGCAGAGAGCGGCCGGCGTCCGTCTGTTCGCGCACCGGCTCACCGCGCACCACGTCATCGCAGTGCACGCAGGCGCTCTGTAACACACAATATATCATCACAGTGGACACAGGCACTCTAAAACACATTATACAATGTCACAGTGAACACTGGCGCTCTAAAACACACAATGCATCTTCACCATGGACACAGGTGCTCTGTTACATACAGACACACACACACACACACAGGTGCTGTGTAACACAGACACAGAATATACAGCAGCGCACAGTGGACACTGCTTCACCATTCAGGTCCTCTGAAGCACACAATTGTCAAGCAATTGTATGGGCAATTCCTAGCAAATGGAATACTAAGCACAGTTACTTTACAAATGCTTCCAAGTGCCATGGCCACCTTTCATACAATGCCACTGCGGACAATATACTGGAAGATTACCAGTAAAAAGTAACTTTAAGCACCTATAAGGCATAAGGAATGGCATATTTACTCATAACCAACCTTGTTATAAGCCTTCCTGTATTCAGACAAACATAGCTCTGAACAAAAGTCCTTCTTGCTTGTCTGAGTGGGAAGAACATACTTGAGTGATGTCTTGGTCTCTAGACACCAGTTGCAGACCTTATTTTTAGCTCCTCTAGACACCCCTGAAATAACAACACAATGACAGTGATATTGGTTACCTATACTGAGTTTTTTTTTGCATTAAATACTTCATGTTTTTATGAAAATAATGATTTTTTAGAAAAACAATAGCAAAACCACCTCATATTACTCAGGTCGCAAATGTCACACACTTGCAATGTAACTGGGTATTGCTGAACTTCAACTTGGGAGTCAATGAGATATGGTAACAAGTCTACCTGAGTTAAATTTAGAACTCTAAACTTAATAAATACCTAATAACACATACCTTTCACAGGTAACATGCTGAATTTTTAAGTCTGAAACAAAAAAAAAAATGATGTTAGGTTAGCATGTCAACGTCTAAGAAAGCACTCTGAGGCATCATCATTATAATCTAAGACCTAAACAAGTTATATAGGTAAGAATATATGGGTGACTGCCGACTAGATATACTTACACATGAATGAAATATTAAATCAATACAACTTTTCTAACAAATAATAAAATACACATCAATAAAGCAATTGGAAAACAATTTTTTAACAATTGTTCTCCTTGTCCCATAAAATAAAAAATTCAGCAATCATTGGAAAACATTGAGAAAACATAGACATTAATAACATATTGATGAAAATATTACGCATCATTCTCGAATCATGTCAGGCAAGTTCAAGTTACAATGTTTTTGTGAAAAGCGATAATGTGAACACAGATATATTCGCTTTTCACAAACGTCAAACTGTCATAATACAATGTTTTTACTCATGAATAGGCTATCATTCAGTGTGTTGTGGTGGCAACTAAAAAATCATGAGAAGTGACAAGAGTTAGGGCTCAAAAGCATAGCTCAACTATTTATCTAAATTGTCAATTATTTTATTCCCTAAAAAAACGGTATAGGTAGGTTACCTACCTCGGGCTCTGCGCATATGCTTCACACTTATTCAAATGCAAATGGCCAGAAAACCACTCAGGGAATAAAAGGCAGCATTACTCAGTCTTGAATCAGCTCTGAATCATCGACTATTCACAAAACTGATTATTAATTCGAGATTCCGTGCCAACCTATTCCATAAAATACTCGAAAAGACGCCCCAAACAGCGCAACATCTGCGCCATGCAATGCCGCATTCCGCCTAAACTTCAATAATTGTATTCTAAGCGCATACCATTTTGTGCATAACAGCAAAAACTGTCCAATCAAAATCGAGAAAGCAAAGCATTTACCAATTAGAGGAAAAGTTTTGTGATCTCATTTTTCAGTGAGTACTTTACGAACACCCAGTTTTTTTTTTTCTCACATTAATTCGGCCGCTTGCACACTGCGCGGTCGTGGAGCTACGTCTTACTTTTTTCAATATTATTATACTTTTTTATTGCAGTAGTTGAAGGATGACTTAAAGTAATTCAATAGGGCCAAAACAATTTGAGGTAATTTTCAGTTTTCAGGATGCAAGAACGAACAATAGGAGCTTACTTTGGGCTATATATATAAGCTACAAGTTCAAGTTGAAGTGGATTGGTAAGAGTCGCATATTATTTTGATTTCAATTCATGCTTTTGTCTTTGAGAAGGTGTCTGCATACCTATGATGCCTTCAAGATTTGTTAAGTCTTTCAGCCTTTGGTAGTGATAAAGTTGTTCTTGATCAATTATCATTCCGAACGGATCTCGGATCAGGAAGTAACAAATCATGGCTTGTATTCTGTTATGAATTGTAAGCTTTTTTAGATTATATGTTTGGATGTAAAGATATATTTTTTCTCACATCACATATTACTTTTATACTTGGGTTCCTTAAATTTGCCTGTCCCCTGGTTTGATGATGCTGGTCTATGCAATCAATTAAGGACTGATTTAAGTCTTGAATCATTGCAGTTTGTAATTAGCTCACCTTTGTAATTGTAATTGTTGCCTCCCTACTTATAAAGCTTTAATTTATTTGCAATATTCCCACAACAATAGTACATATTTTACTGCTTTTATTTGTAGAATAGCCTGCACCTACCTGAGTCCTGAAATGACCAGACTGAGGCCAGTTCTTTAACATACCTAACATTAGCATAGGTAACCATTAAGCAGGTAACCTACACCTTTACCTTAGGATAGACTTGGGCTAGTGCCTAGCTAGGTTTTTTTTTATTCACTAGCACTGAATCTTTTGCTTCATGCAAACTGGGCAGTGAATCTGAAGGAGGAAGGAGCTTTTATCAGGCAATTGTAGTGTTTTCATTTTGCCAGTGCCTGGTTATTCAATTGCATGTAAAGATACAGAGCATATGACAGTTACACAGGTACCTACCCAGTACCCACCAATCTGTTTTTATGAGCATTGAATTGGATGGGATCAATATTTTACTTATTTATATCATAGTGAGTGCCTTTACTTGTGTTTTAATGAAATTTACACCTGCCATAGCTATGCATAATATTTGCCATGAAATAGGAAATGCTACAACTAAAATGCTCTCAAATGTGAATTGTTTGTGTTGCTCCTTGAAAAAGTCACTTACTGAGACTCATAATAAGTTTAAATGCAAATATTTAAATTTTGTGTGAACTACAAGATAAAACATAATTATGAGCATTATCTGTTTAAAATCAGTGTAGTAATTATTTAACCTACAATTGGACCGTACTTTACTTCCTGTCAATTATCTGAAAACCTTGATTGTTCAGATTGTTCATTTTTATGTGTTGTTTATGTGTTTCTATGTTATGATTTACTCAACCTTTTAAGCTGTGAGCTCTCAAGAATACCTATCAGCAGTGCAAACCCTATCATTTCAGACAGGGTATTTGCACTAATACACAGCTGTAGCTGTTTTAATGAACAATTTAATGAGCTGCTTTAATAACCTATAAGCAACTGTTTTAGACTTAATGTGAAGGTGAATTGAATTATCACAGTGAAGGTGAATTATCACAAAAAGTAGTTAGGCCTGGATGCTCTGATATTATGTGCTTTATATTATTTTTCTAGCAGTCTTATGGATTGCGTGATGCCATGATTTTTTAGGGAAAATTGAATGCCAGGTTCTCTGTATCTTTGAACCCAATCATCCTTTCCATATCACTGCAGTGATGTATTTCACTGTTGCCCTCTCACACGCTGTGGATGTTAACTGTAGCTCCCCTATCCTCCTCCAGGGGCCCCCTTTGGCCGTTCGGCGGCACGGCGGCCGTCTGACGCCGCTGGGCGGTAGGTGGCGCCGGCGCGGCGGTCGCGGCGCACTATGAGCGGCTCACTGTCGACCGGCCGGCGGCGCAAGAAGCGGCGGCAGCGGCAGCGTCCCGCCGGCGGTGAGGAGAACCCGCTGAACCTGTCGCTGCCGCTGGAGGTGGAGGTGCGCGAGTCGGCCTGGTACCCGAGCGGCGAGAGGAGCTCCAAACTGGACGCCGCCGCGGCAGCGGCTGAGGTGAGGGACGGGAACGAATGAAGGGGGAGAGGGTGGCGGGTTCCGTGAGAGCACTGAGTCATTGCTGCTTGGTTACTTATCAACTTATTCTACAGATGAGGTTAGATTTTACTGGACATTGCGGAGAGAAATGTGACTTTTCCGATTCATTGTGACGAGGCTTGTTTCAACTCACCCCTTTGTGCTCAGATTTGCTGTATGCTATAGCAAGCTATTTGTCTGATAGGTATGTCGCCTGTCGGATATCATTGCCATGTTGTTCTGCGCACGGGTAGCTATGTAAGTAAGTATAGCTAGTCACCTTAAAGACAAAGGGCGAGTGTGAGCCATCGATCGAGGAAAGAATGGCTCGGCAAGTCGGCACGCTGCATGTTTGCATCATGCAAACCATATGCACGCGCACGTGCACCATGTTAGAGCACGTGCGGGCGTGCCGTGCGAGCGGCGCTATATTGCCGATATCAGTTCCTGCCGTCATACCCGGCCTCTACCGAGCCGACGAACCCGGTCTGTAATGACGCACACAACATCCAGCCATGCGATGGAATTAGCTACTGCACGTGCAGAGACATTTGTACATGACTAGCGGTAGGCACTTGTCTGCCTGTTTGTTTCCATCGAGCAGTTAATTTGCACACAATGGAGTAACTGTGGCGGCTTTTTGCGCCGTAGAGCTGCGTATTTCTGAAGCGTTGCGCGCCCCGCGCGGTGGCAGTCACGCACACACCTCCGCGCCGGTGTTGATACGGTGGGAGAATGGGGTCGGCGGGAGGATTCACCTGCTTGGCAGGCACGCGCGCCGCTGATGGGCGAATAATGATCGAAAAGGTAAATAGGCACGATCCTCACAGGACAGGCTGCTGGTTGTTTCTGGCGCTCGTAAGCACGCACCTCGTACCTTTTCCCTTAATTTACCCCACCCCCTCCCCCATATGTTTTATCGTTGTAACGATTTAGTGCTAGCGGCAACGGCTGCAAAATGGGCATCGTGTTCTTATTCCCGATTTCCTTTGTGTTTATTTTAGTTGCTCGTCCATTCCAGCAGGTTTGTTCTATTACATCTCTCCTTGGTTCCCGTCTTCACGCAGTGATCTGCCCGACCTGGCATGTTGTAACCCCTCCCCCGCCGTTCCGCAGTTATCCCCTGACAGCCGCGATGACGGCCCGTAACCCTCCCATAACCCTCCCTGCCGTCGTCTGTTCCGCAGTTATCCCCGGACGGCCGCGATGACGCGTCTCAGTCGGAGTTCCTGGGAGTTCGCGCCGCCCTGGAGGAGCAGACCGATCTCGGCCTGCACATCAACGAAAAGTAAGACGCCATGTGGGAGGACGAAGGAAACAGATTTTGGCGTTACCTTTGATAATTTTATTGGTCGAGTGACTACTATAAGGCTTGTTTGGGTCTAACTGTTTTACAATCTGTATAAAGTTTTCCGTGTGTACTTTTTCGAAATTGCGACTTCCTGGAGCACCGACCCCCAATAACATTTTTTTTTTTTTTTTTGGACTGCCCGGTTTTATTTCCTATCGCTGATCGGTGACCATTGATTGCTACCAGCGCTGTTCAACGCCTGTAACTGTGACCCCTTTCTCGCCCCGTCTCCTCCCGCAGGGGTAACCAGATATGTCAGCTGAGACCCACTCCCCTCTTACCCTCCCGCAGGGGTAACCAGATATGTCAGCTGCGCTGGGCCGACTTCAGTCAGCGCGTGCCGTCCCACTGGACCGAGCGGCACCCGAACGTGTGTCCCCTCTGCAAGAAGAAGCTCAGCTCGCGCTTCTCGCTGTCCCGACACTACATCGACGTCCATCACAGGTGGGGAGCGAGGCTGGGGCGAGGCTGGCGCGAACCCGGGACGGGAATAGTCGGAAGGAAGTAGCTTGAGAGAATTAATATTATGCCGAGGCATTTGTTTGTTGATTTGCAACTGTTTGGTTGTGCTGTCTGACCTTTTGATCAGAGTCCTTTCGTGATGGTATAAGGTATGCTTTTCTTCATAACTGTTTACTGACAGTAAACTCTGATCAAGATTATGCTGTGCTACCGTGGTATTACTTTACGCTGAGGCACTGCAGCATACCCTAGCTCTCTGGCGCGTTATTTATCTCTGCCGTCCGTTTTCAGGGAGGAGAAGAAACTCCCGACGCCGGCGCCATGCCGCTTCTGCTCCAAGATCCTGTACAACCAGTCCACGCTGAACCGTCACGTGCTGACTGTGCACAAGGAGGAGGCGCTGGCGCTGGCGGCGGCGGTCGGCACGGGTCGGGGGGCGGCCGCCGCCCCCGCCCCGGCCCCCGCCGCTGACCCGAGTCCGCCGCCAGCGCCGCTCTCCACTGGCTACTACTGCGCACTGTGTCAGCAGCGGCACCGGCGCAAATCAGAGGTCACCCGGCACATGCAGCTGCTGAAACTACAGAGCCCCAAGGGCGCGACACGGACCGGGCAGGCGCCGAAAATACAGAGCCCGAGAGCTGGGCGGTCGAGCACCGGAGCGAGGCAGGCCAGCGCTGGTGAGTGAGGATTTGGGGTGGGGGGGGGGGGGGTTGCTGAGTTGCTTTTGGGGTGTGTAGCTGGAATGCTTTGTGATGCATGAATATCCGGTAGGCATTGGGCCGGTGATGGCATATTAGCTACTTATGTGCAAATGTTGATGGTTGACTTCTTAGATGAAAGGTTCAGCATAGCACCGATCAGCAAATTAATGTAATAATAAACGTTTTTAGTTCGGTAAACTATAACATTCCATTACCAATACTTCTAAGCACAATAAGATACGTTTTTAGCTGCGTAAACTATCACATTGCACTGCCAATACTACGAAGTACCCTAACCTGTTCGTTGTATTCCAGGCGCGGCGGAGGACTCTGTGTCTGCCGAGGAGGGCAGCTCCGCCCCGGAGACCTCCAACGGTCCGCTTATCTCACCGGCGCTCACCGCACTCTCACGGGAACTCACGGTGAGCTGGCAGTCTCTTACAGGACTGTTTCTTGGCAAATACGCGTTAGGCTGCTGAAAGGGAACTCACAAAACTCACGGTGAAATCAAGCTGATGATTTTTTTATGCAAGATGTTTACTTTCCGCGGCTTAGTGAAATAGCTATGTGATGCGACATTGTATTTTACTATGTAGGCGCTGATAGCAATGGATGATAACGACTCCGTTGTATTTCAGACCACGGCGCCGTTTCCCTGTTCAGTCTGCAGCCGAACGTTTTCGGACCAGGAGCGTCTGATCGCTCACCTGGCCAGTCACCTCAGGGATAATCACTCAGGTAATACACAACAGATAGATGAGGGGTAATCCCACAGGTAATCCTCACCTCACCTGGCCAGTCACCTCAGGGATAATCACTCAGGTAACTATACTCGCCTCATATTCTAGCTGAGAATCGTACAGTGTTCACGTCACCCCAGGGAGAATCACCAGCCAATACTACATTTGGGAAAGGACTGAAAGGAGCCAGTGTCACTTCATCTGTGGAGACCTACACACAGTTCCAGCCTCACCTAAGTGAGGTTGTGCGTGAACCTCTGCCGCCCCCTGACCTCCCGCCGCCCGTCGTTCTCAGACTCGGCGCCGTCCGGCCTGTGTCCGCTCTGTGAGCTGACCGTCCCCCAGCTGGCCAGCCACGTCCGGGACGCGCACTGTCGCGTCTGCGCCCGCTGCGGACTCATACTGCCTGAGGCGCTCATGGAGCGACACCTCACCGCGCACGATCTCAAGGTACGGGAGAGGGTGTCTTTTTAATTGGACTGTGGCGCTCTGATCTTGCGAATAACTGCATTTCTGTTGGTAGATACAGCTAATTACTGATGGTTTGTGTTTAATTTTTAAAACACAATTCACCAATTTTTAATCAGTCACCGATAGGCTTAATGATTCGGGGCTACCTCCAGTCCTCCGCCCCCCGCCGTCCTGTCCTGACAGTCTGCCCCGCCCTCCGCCGGCCTTCTGGTGTCCGGTGTGTGGCCAGTGGTCAGTGTTCGGTGCCCGATGCATGTGATATAACTAGGAACACCTCCGTCCTGACCGCTCTCTCCGCCCTCCGCCAGATGGCCTTCTGGTGTCCGGTGTGTGGCCAGCGGCCAGTGTTCGGTGCCCGATAAATGTGATATAACTCGGAACACCTCCGTCCTGACAGTCTGCCCCGCCCGCCGCCAGATGGCCTTCTGGTGTCCGGTGTGTGGCCAGCGGCCAGTGTGCGGTACCCGATACATGTGATATAACTCGGAACACCTCCGTCCTGACAGTTTACTCCTCCCGCCGCCAGATGGCCTTCTGGTGCCCGGTGTGCGGCCAGCGCGAGGACCGCCGGCAGAAGATGATGCAGCACATCAGCGAGCGCCACGAGTACATCGCCGAGGGCTCTCAGTTCCAGTGCGGCTCCTGCGGCCACGTGCGGTCCCACAACCTGGTCACCCACTGCCTAAAACACGCCCGCGACGACGCCCTCACCGCCTACTGGTTCAAAACCGACGGTGAGCTGGGGGTCAGCTGGTGCTCATCGCAGTGGTAAGAATATCGCAGTGGAGACTGAATTTGGCAGCACCTGAACAATTCTTGGTGTCAGATAGAGTTGATGTATGTGCCGAATGTGGAATTCTCGTGGCGGCATGCTTGTAACTTGTAAGCGACCATGTTCATACATGTGTACAATTCTACGTTTCTAAAGAAGTGGTAAGACGTTTGTCAGCCTCCCTGCCCATCTCTAACTCTCCTCTCCTCTCCCTGTCTCCCACAGTTCTATCTCCGCTGGAGCAGCGCGGCCTGGAGGCGGGCCGGCTGCTCCGCTCGTCCTCTGACGACTCGTCGCTGCAGTGGCTGCCGGTAGCCGCCGCCGAGCCGGCCGCGGCCGCCGTCGTCTCCGGTCTCAGCGTGCACCTGCTGCAGGCCTGTGACGGCGTGCCGGGCGCCGGACTGGACGCGGCTGCGCTCCTCTCGGCCGCCCTGTGTCCCGTGTGCGCGGCGCCGACCCCCTCCGGCCGACAGCTGGGAGCCCACCTGCAGCGGCACGGCGAGCTGCCGGTGCTCTTCTGTCCCAGCTGCCCGCGCACCTTCTGCCGGCCGGAGCGGGCGCGCCGCCACCGTTGCGGCCGCCTGCTCTGCCTGCTCTGCGGCCTGCAGGTGCCCTCGGCCGTGGTGGCCGCCCACTGGACGCTGCACGCCGGCGACGACCCGATCTGCGCGCTGCTGACCCCGCAGACGGAGCCCGGGGACGGCGAGGGGTCGGCAGAGAGTGACGAGGAGCCGCCGTGCGGCCTGCTGGAGCGGCAGCTGGCCAGGCAGCTGGCGGGGATCAAACAGGAGCCGCTGGATGTGGAGGACGGGGAGGACGGAATGGGAGAGGTGCCCGGGGATGAGTTTGAGGACGGCGAGGACGGCGGCGGGGCTGGTGAGGATGGTGGCAGTGCTACGGGTAGTGCTGTTGGTGATGATGGTGCCGCCGGCGCTGACGGCGAAGGTGGTGAGAATGGTGATGGTGATAGGGAGGAGGGTGGTGATGTGAAAGATGGAAGCAGTGAGAATGAAAATGGTCTTGATCTCGGGACGAAGACGGGCGAGGAAGTGGAAAGGCAGAAAGAAACTAAGGAGTGTAGCGACGGAGACGGGAAACATCGTGAAGAAGATCTAGATCGTAATGTGGGAAGGGACCTTGATAAGAGGAAAGAATTAGATCGTGACGGAGAGAAGGAGCTTGATAAGGGGAAAGAATTGGATCCTGCCGAGGAGAGGGAACATGGCGACAGGGAAGAACTAGCTGGTGGTGCAGACAAAAACACTTGTAACAGTGACGGTGAAAAGCGCGATGAACCTAAGAACGGGAATCCTGAGGCAAACAATGGCAATGGCCTAGAGAACGATGGTAGCTTAAAAGCAAACAGTGCAGCACCTGATTCGAAGGAGTCTGTTGAGAAGCCTGCACTGACGAACGGAGTGGCGGAGGAGCAGAACGGCCACGACGGCCGCCAGCTCCGTGGTCGCCCTAGGAAACGATCTCTGGATGAATGTCATAAACCCGCGCCAAAGGATGACCGTGAGTCGACCGAGTCGACCGCTGTGGATCAGAACAACGTCAGTGATGAATCTAGTCAATCGGAGAAAACGCCGGCGGAGGACCCTCCCAAGGAGTGGGCTTCGTTGGGTTTTCCGGCGGCAGACGCCGCTGAGGGCGACACCCCGGTGCGGGAGGCTCGCTCGGAACGCCGCTCCCCGCCCCGCAAACGCCGCCGCTCGCTGTCGGCGGACGGCAGCACCGGCGGCGGCTCCCCTAGTCCCGGCGGCCGCGCCGAGCGCCGCTCGCCGCCGGCCACATGCCGTTCGGAGGAGGGCGGCGCCGAGTCGCCCGAGTCGGACTCGGAGTCCGAGTCTCTGGCCTGCGACCTGTGTCCGCGCCGGCTGCGCTCCGTGTCTCAGCTGCGCCGTCACCGGCTGTACCGGCACGGCGAGTGGCGCGGCCCGCTGCGCTGCCCCCGCTGTCCGCGCCGCTTCTTCCTGGCCGCCCACCGGCGGCTGCACGCCTGTGCCGGTGAGGACGCGGCGGGCGGCGCGCGGCCCTGCTGCGGCCGCTGCGGCGCCGAGCCGGCCGCCGGCCGCCCGGCCTGCCTGGTGTCAGCGGCCGGCCGGCGGCTGCGGCTCACCGTCTGTGCGCGCTGCGACTGCCCGCTGCCCGGCCCGGACAGCAGCGGCTCTGACAGCTCTGACCGCGCCGGCCGGGACAGTCAGGTGTCGCCGCCGCCGTCCCTGCCCGGCGCCGCCGTCTGCTGCGAGTGTGACGCGCCGCTGGCGGCCGGCGCCGCCGCCCTGCTCCAGGAGGAGGGCGCCGCCGAGACCCCGGGCCCGGCGGCGGCGCGGCTCTGCGTGCCCTGCGCCGAGCAGCGGCTGGCGGCCGAGCCGCGGCTGGCAGCGCGCCTGTGGCGGCCCGAGGCCACGCTGGGCGCTCTATGGTGTCCGTCCTGCTGCCAGCCCCAGGTCTCCCTCCACCAGCTGCGGCTGCACAGCTTGCGGCAGCACGCCGACGTCATGTAGGCGCCCGTGGTGACGTCATGTGCGCGTCGGTCGCAGTCTGGTGTGACGTCATCCATCAGTGTCTGAGCTTGCCAGAGTAGTTTGAGATTGGCTGTCGGAAGTGTCTGTGCGGAGAGGCACAGTGAGCGACACTGCCGGGGTCAGAACGGGTGCAGCAAGCTTCGTTGTCCTTGTAGTGCGCGCCGCGCCGTCGTCAGGCAGCTAGAAGTCAGGTGAACCGCTGTATAACGTAGTCTGTAGCGGAACTGGCGTGCGTCGCTTGTTCCTGTGTATGAGAGTGATCGCACGCCCCTCGCGACGGGCATTTCCAATACTACTGAATCGCGCTGCAATCAACACGCTTTATAAGTTAACCAAACACGCTTCGTTATCGTCACGCTGTGTGAGTGTGTCGTACTTTGTCACGTGTCAGTTATTTGCTCACATTTGTTGGACATTGGCGTTATTTTATTATCCGTTGCACCTTTTATATCAGCTCGTTTATAGGAACCCAGCGGCAATCTCGTTTGGTTAACTGTAGCGCTTGTGCTATGAATCTGACTAGGGAGCTAAGCGCTCGACATTTTACTCCAATGTTGTGTTAACTTCCTCGCCTAGATAGTACAGTGATGTGTGAGAGCCAGTGTCATCCAGGATCCAACGGGACTGGAATTTTTCAAAGCCATTGTTTGTTGTCTTGCAATATGACTGTAGCAAGCTTTTTGTATTTGTCGCCTGCTTAGGACAGTTATGACGTTGATTTTCAAAACTCCAGCCGTGAAAAATGAAGTGTTTATTAACGCAACTGTCACAAGCCAGCCGTTTAGCATATACCGAGGCAACTGAGGTAGAATATGCGGATGTAAAATCTAAAATTTGCCACTCCCACGAGATCTACCACGCTAGAATTACAGCCGAAAGTTTGCGGCGCGACTTGCGGCGCGACCCGCGTACCAAATCGCTCACCAGGCAGACATGGCGTACCCGCCCCCACTACACGCCCGTCACAATGTTCGTCCCATCGGCGCCTCTCAGACGGTCCTCTCCAGACTAACCCGGCCTTCGAGTAGAGCCTCCACCCTGTCCCAGCGGCTCTGATCAGACGGTCCTCTCCAGGCTGACCCTGCCGGCCAGCAGCGCCTCCACCCTGTCCCAGCGGCTCTGATCAGACGGTCCTCTCCAGACTGACCCTGCCGGCCAGCAGCGCCTCCACCCTGTCCCAGCGGCTCTGATCAGACGGTCCTCTCCAGACTGACCCTGCCGGCCAGCAGCGCCTCGACCCTGTCCCTCTGTCTGCGGGTGAGGGGGTCCGGCGGCAGCGGACCGGCCAGGGGCAGATCCAGCACGAACAGCCGGCACCGGGTGGCCTCCAGAGCCGACGGCTGACCGGCCTCCAGGCGCGCCGCCTGCCGGTCCCAGGCCGCCTGCCAGCGCCGCCGGGACGACCGCAGGCGCCTGGGGGCAGCGAGGGGCAGGTACGGAAGAGTGACACGAGCTAGTTATAAATGGCACACATTGGTAATGTAATTGAGTGAGTGAGTGAGTGGATGGCACGGCTGTTCTTAGGTGGTTTGACCTCTAGCGCTAAGAAAGCTGTTGGTTGCACAACGGTAATGTTCAAAGACGTTTCGTATTTGCTGCTATAGGCTTCTTGCAATCTGTTCTGTAAGATTATTCAGTTATCTAACATACAAACTCGCGTCTCTCCACGTTCTTAGGTTCGGTGATGTGCTTCACATTCATCTCACCTGACGGCGCTGCTGTCGCCAGACTGAGGATCGCGCCCCATCCGGACAGCCAGCCGAGGTGGTGCTGAGACGAAATTAGAGGAGAGGACAAGCCTCCGGTACTCGGTGCTGCCTACCGTCGATCACTAGTTGTCCTCCCTTCCAACGCCACAGAGTGAGTGGAACAAACGGCGTGGGTATCGACCAAACGACCGGTGAGCCGCGCCCCCTAGCGGTGAGTAAAAGAAGCGGGGAGGAGAATCCGTGCCAGACAGTAGCTAGTCATCGGCTGGATGCATGAGAGTGGCAAGTGTTTGACATGGGCAGCACTCAATGCAGGCCTCTCGTAAACTGAAGGCCTTGTAAGTAGGTACAGTCACAGATACTGACGCTTGACAGGATGATTCCTGGCCAGCACCGATAGATGGCGTTCGGGTATACTCACCTCAGCACCTGCCAATCTTCTGTAGATGGCAGCACAGGTACCCCATCAGAGCGAGGCCGATCCCTGGACCGCTCCAGCCGGCAAAACTGGTTTTATCAGCCCAGCGAGGCCTGCTGTCGACGGTATCAGCTTTTTGGCCCGGTTCCATAAAGGGCATTGCGGTTTACGTAGACAAGGTCATCTACTATTGCGCCTTTGCTTCTCTGCTATCATACGCTTGAAAAAGGTTTGATTTTGCATTGCATGGAATAGCTTACCGCTTTGCAAGTGATAATATTCTTTAAAGCTTTCGCATACGCGCCACCTGTCCTTCTTAGCCTTAACCCATCCGGTGACCCTACCAGGCAGCCACTAGGAGACAAACCCGAAAGGAGCGTACCTCTCCGGGGTACCTACACGTCTGAGTGTCCGGTTAGCCTGTCCCACCGGGATACTACCGTCCGACTGTAACGGCTCAGCCACAGCGGCGCACTGAGCCGCTATGGGCTCAGCCGCTGCGGCGCACCAGCCAGGAAGTCCCTGTGCACTTGCAGTCAATACAGGTGTAAATAGCTAACACACTCGAATCCATGTGGTTCGTACCATATGCACTGTGTGCTATCTCCAGGCGTCTGTCTGTGGGGCCAGGACAGGGTCCCCGGGTCTCCATCCGCCCTGCAGTTCGCGTGTCTTCCATCGCCAGGCGTCGGGGCGGTTTTTACCGGGCGCCCGCCCCTCCTATCGGCTCCTCCACAGCTCCGTGTCGGCATACAGCGGCGTATTTAGAAAATCGCGAAGGGGGGGGCCAAGGGTTTGGAGGGCGCCACCTCACCCAAGGAGGGCGCCATACGGTCGCGAGATAAAAATCGTTCAGTGGGGGTTGGGGGGTTGGGAGGCGTTTTTTACCATGCCACCAGTTTTTTTTTTGCGTAACCTCGTATAGGTCGTGCTGCATTGATTTTGCATCGTGTGTATTCTTTATACTCCAGGTCACAAAAGGTCAAGTGTTCTTGAAATGCTGCGCCGAAGGCGCGCGAAATTTTTGAAAACAACCTTTTCCTCCGCTTTTTAGGCACGCCTTTTATACGATCACTGTTCAAAGCTCCTCTCGCTCTTTTACCAAATTTGAAGGTGTAAAAAATACCTAAGGTTTGGTCGGGCCGCTGCCACACAAACTGTACAGAAAGCTTGGCTCATGGGTGTCGATGTATAAAAGTTTATTGGCGGTGGCATATCTACGCACCAGATCACCGTATCGGATTGATACCGGAGCGCGAGATGCGTAAACATCATCCAAATTACCTCAGACCAGCCTTCATAGCCTTCTCACAGATGCATACAGTGTACCCACATAACCAGTTTCAATCACCGAAACTTCAGATGCCTGCTGTTGCGCCCGAACCTGTTGACAATACTTAATCGTAATCCATATAGATGTCATGATGCACGTAAAGTAGGATCAATCCGTTAAGACCAAAGACGTGTTTTATGCATCGTAGAGCGTAGATAGTTTTGGTAGGTATAGATACTTCATTCATTGTGCTGAATGCACGTTCATTTGTGGCAGTTTTCACAGGCAAGACATCAACTATGTGCAATAGAACGACTAAGTTGAAAAACATGCCAAAGGAGTAAATAAATGATAGGAGGGCAGCGATCAACGGATGTTGCCAATAGGTAGAAGGGCTGCGATCCACAGGAGGGCACTAATAGGTAGAAGAGCCCCGATCAACATCCCGAGTTTCGACAGTAGGGCACCGATAGGTAGGAAGTTGGCGAGCAGCAGGAGGGCGCCAATGGATAGAAGGGCAGCGATCAACAGGAGGGCACCAATAGGTAGGAGGGCGCCGATCAACAATCAACAGGAGGGCGCCACCAGGTAAGAGGGTGGCGAGGAACAGGAGAGCACCAATAGGAGGGTGGCGATCAACAAGAGGTCGCCAATAGGTGGGAGGGCGGTCATCAACTGGAAGTCGCCAATGAGCGGAAGGGTGACGATTAAAATGGGGGTGGCAATGGTGAGGAGGGCGCCTTTGCTCAAGAGGATGACACGAACAGGAGGGCGTCTGTGCGGAGGGCGCTGGTCAACAGGAAGGTGCCAGTGGATAGGAGGGCGGTGATCAACAGGAGGGTGCCAGTGGTTAGGAGGGCGGCGATCTACACGAGGGCGCCAATAGGAGAAGGGCCCCGATTAACATTCAACAGGAAGGACTAGGGAACCAATAGGTAGGAGGGCGGCACTGAACAAGAGGGTGCCAAAAGGGAGAAAGGCGTCCTTCAAAATTTCACATGAGGGCTCAATAGGTAGGAGAGCGCCAATAATTATGAGGACGCCGATCAGCAGAAGGGCGGCAATGTGTAGCAGGGTGGCGACCTACAGGAGGGCGCCTTCGGGTGAGAGGGCGCTTATTTACAGGACAGCGGCTTACATAGGCGACCACCGTTACGCTTAGAGAGCTACAGCCTACAAATGTGGTTGGAGGGCGCCCGAGGGAGCCCTCCAACCGTATTTGGAGGGCGTATTTGGAATGGGCGTCCTCCGAGGGCGCCCTCCATCCGTATTTTCCCTGTAAACACATTCGCGATTGGAGGGCGCCCTCCAGTCGCGATTGTTTTTCGATTCGATTATATCACAATTGCATTTGCGATTGGAGGGCGCCTTCGGCGCCCTCCAATCGCAAAGGGCGCCTTCGGCGCCCAAGGGGGGGGGGCCATGGCCCAGTGGCCCCCCCCCTGCCTACGCCCCTGTCGGCATACCCCGGATCACCAGCATCTTAGCGTGCCGGAGAGGCTTCGAAGGATGCCTTTGTTTTTTCCAAGGAGGCGCCCACTTTATCATCTCAGTATCGGAGTAATTATGCATGTGAATTGGATGTTGAATCAAACCGGGCGGTGGGAAAATGAAAGTTGTCTGTTGACGAGCAATTTTCCTGAATTCCTATCTCGTTTTTTTGCCGAATGCAAGCTCTCATGCGGGAGATACGCTTACATCCATAGCCCAATGCGTCATGCCACTCCATTGAGCGCACGCTAACTCAAACAAGGCGATACAATGTACAAATGTATTAATAAAATCGCTTTTGGCATTGCATTTTCCATATACTCTCATTCCGTCTCTCTCGTTCTCTCACAAAACAGCACCAGTTTGTACAACAAAATAGTGAACAATACAGTATGTTTAGCCTCGTCAGAGGTACGAGCGCACGGGCACGCTGAGTAAGGCTCACCATTGGACACATAGCTGCACCGGTCACTGATCACACCGAGACGGCGACGCTCCCGGCTCCGCGGGCGCCCCGGGACCAGGGGCGCCGCCGGCGGCCGGTCGGCGCGAGCGGGGCAGCGCCCGGTCTCACCCGCGCGCGGCACCAACGTCTGCGTCACTTTCTGCAAAGGACGCAGAGTTGTCTCGGCTCGCGCGTGCTGTGGTGAGTGGTGGTGCCTCGGACCGCGGCGCTGGCTCCGCGACTCGCTCCGTTCGGCCGGCCGGCTGGCCCGCTGTGGGGGAGCCGTGTCGGAGCGCGGGGCGCCGCTCTCGGGCGCGGGACGGGCGGCCGGCGCCGGTAAGCCGAGCTGGCACTGGGCAGGTCGGGTCGGCTGGCCGGCGTCGCGGCCGCCCGGGAGGCGGCGGCCGGCCCTCTCCGCCGCCTCGGAGCCTGCCGAGGCGCGGCAGGACCGGCCGCCAGAAACACAGCCCACACGACTTCACTTGGCGACTAGCTCTCGGCGGCGGGACGGGGGCCGCCCGGCACACGGCGGCGCCGGGCGGCGGCGGCTCGTGCGCGCGCCGGCGCCAAGTGAGGCGTGTGGCGCGGCTCGGGCTGCGTTTGGCACTGGCGCCGCGCCGGCGGCGGACGACGCGGCTGGAATGTGTGTGGAGCGGTGAGCGGCGGGTCGCCAGCGACCGCGGCCCACGGACGGCATCGGCACATGACGCGCTCAGACGACCGCCTGCCGGCACAGACACGGGTCACCGGTCAGACGACGGACAGGAAAACATACCGATGGACGGATGAGCCAACTTAGACCTGATGGTGGCATCTAGCAAGGGTGACGGACTTAAACTTAAGTGCAAATGCCTCCACTTTACTCAGCTAATAACTGGCCGACTTGTCATGCATGCTTAGGGTTGGCCTATGAGTCCATGACAATATGCATCGATTTCACTTCAGCAAATTCATTTCTACCCATCTACCCCAATCACACATGCCAATAGAACACATTCTGACAACCGTTTACCAGCATCTCACACCAGTCACGACATATGTCATCACTCTAAACCCTCCTCGAGTCCATCTGACACTTGTCTGACACTCGGACTGATACCGTGTGACGACACAGAGTGACGACACACTGCCAGGCGTGTCTGGTCGGGACAGGTTGGAGCGGACCTCCATGGACCATATGGCACGGTCAGAGTTCTCCCCTAGGCAGTTAGAGAGAGGGATGAATGAGAGAGAGAGAGAGAGAGAGAGAGAGAGAGAGAGAGAGAGAGAGAGAGAGAGGGGGAGAGAGAGAAAGAGAGCGAGAGAGGGAGGAGAATTCCGGGGAGCGGCATATGGCTGTGGTGAGACTGACCGGTCGAAGCGGCTGCTCGGGTGTGATGTTTGGGAAAGGCTGTGGGTTCGCCATAACATCTGTCAGCAGAGTTGAGGGGTTATGGAGAATGGAACATGGCCGGAATGTGTAAGTGTGGAGTGCCCAATAGTGGATGTCATTGTCGATCTGCAAGCCGTGCAAAGTTTATGAAGTGTGACCGAGTGTTGCATTATGTGCCCAATTTTGAACACGACGGGTTTCTCAGGTAAAACAGGTCACCAGTCACCACACCACAGATAATTCAATACAGAATATTTCATCACAACGCTCACAACACAACGCAGCGCACACGATCATTATGGGTGGAAACACATTTTGACACTGCTACTTTTACCTAAACCATCTCCATTCCCCCCCCCCCACTATTTCTCACCCCGCCGCACGCCCCACCTGGCTCTCACCTCTGCGGTCGTTCAGTCGCCCCTGAGCAACTCAAACAGGATATCGAAGGTGGGGCCGCCGTCTGTGCTGGCCCGCGCCGCGATCAGCTCCTTGCCCAGCTGACAGGCGCGCTCCACATCCGGGATGCGCAGCAGCAGCTCGCCGAACTTGCTGGGCATGTCGGCCGAGTGGGACATGGTGTACTGCTGCAGCGCGTGCAGCACCTGCTCCCGCGTGGTGGACACCTTCTGCGGCTCCTTCAGCGACGACGAGTCTGCCGGACGGAGTGGAGGGCGGTGTCAGGTGGTGGAGAGAGACTCGGAGCGGGGGCGCAAGGGGTTGGTGGAGGGCAGTGGTCGAACAGTGAACAGAGGACAAGCATACACGTGTAACCTCTGAATGGCGTGTATTCGGCCACGTTGCTCAGTAAAATGTACCCAATTTAATCGCTAAAAAAGGCACATTTTAGAAGGATCAAGTTTGCTTCATTCTCTCGCTTCAATTGCATTACACTGTTTTTGAACGGTTCCATCGAGCCGACAAGAATGAATGAAATAGGGGAGACCCGGGAGGTATGGGCCCCCTGGAGGTATGGGCCATCGCAGTTTTGAAGAAGTGTTGCGTATTTTTACACATTTGACGGCGTTAACTGGTAGCAGCATTTCGTTACACATCCCACGTGATTTTCAAAGCCTTCATCAGTCTTCGTTGGCAATGAGCGGTGATAAAGCGTTTTTGCCCTCTTCGAGTAAAATACGGTACATACAGAAAATTCGTGATAAATTTGAACCAGGCTCGTTTTATGATGTCAGACCTTCGCTAATATAAAGTTTAAAGCATGCAAATTAAGACTGGATCGACAATATGAAGCTTTCTTGCAAGATTATGAGCTGAGATGCTACACACATTATGGCGTCCTAACCGGGAGGTTCGGGCCACCCACCCCCGGTGATCCTAAATGAATAAAAAGATGCTTTCATTGAATGTCCTCGTCAATAAGTTTTATTTTTGTCGCGCAAGGTCGAAAATTTAACTACAAATTTGATTCGAACAGAAAAATATTATTGATCTTATTTCATGGTGCATGATTGTGTTTACCAAAATACATATAAGCCCAAGAGGCCTCCATGAAGCAAGCTGTTGGCCGCTTATGCGGTTCCTGGGCTCTAAGAGAGATCAAGGTAGATACCAGCTACGAGTATTATTCTTATTGTCGAGAAAAGAATATGAAACATGGCACCGGCCCATACCTCCCGGGCCATGGCCCATACCTCCCGGTGTATTTTGATGGATCGAAAAAGCACATGATTTATTGAAAGTTATCTCGAGACAAAATAGTTGATCCCAGATGCCTAATATCAGGCATACGTTGCAGGCGAAAGGCAATTCCACGTACACAGAGTGAAAAACCGAGTCTAGCCACAGCCCACTGGAAGAAAATTGCCTTTTCACAAAACCGGCCCATACCTCCCGGGTCTCCCCTAACAAGAAACGGTCATCGGTCAATATCCTATCTCCAAACAGGCACGTCAGCAGAGTCAGCATTTGTCTCTGACAGCGGTCATCGACCTCCGGACGGACTCTCCACAAGCCGCACTCTATTATCTGCCGGTTCAAAGAGCCTTAGCGGCAGCCGGGTTCCCGGGCTCGGCCCACGTACCCGGCTTCAGACCGCCCCCGGCAACAGACGTGAGTGGCGGTGCCGGGACTGACGGCTGACCCCCTCCCCCTGACCCCCCTCCGGCACTCACCACCACTCGACGACAGAAGAATGATGACCTTGAGCGCGATATACTCGTAATAGTCGACCTTGAGCCGGCGCAGTTGATCGGTGAGCGCGATCATACGCTCCACGCAGCGACCCACGCCTGCGGGCACAGAGGTCAGATGTCAGCTCGGGTTCGGACCGGCCGTGACGACAGAAGTCAAATGTCACGAGCTGTGAGCACGGAAAGTTCAGCGCACACAGAAAAAGGCTCGGAGATATGGGTCAGAATAGCGACCGACCGACCTGGTGACGGCGGGACGGAAAGGTCAGAGGTGGTTCAGGAGAGCTGGCCGGGGCCCGGCGGCACGTGCCACAATGGGGACGGGTCTCCGCCCGCCGGCGCTGCCCAGCTGCATGGCAACCGACCGTCATGGGACAGAAATACCCGGCGGCTCGTGAGCCCTCGCTCGCACGGCGGCAGCTGACGTCAGAGGTCGAAACCATTCTACGAAACGGCATTCGTTGAAATGGGACTGGCCACGTAGCAACTGCTCGGCTTTTGTAACCGGGCTAACAAATCAAATATAAAGACATCTAAGGCACTGCACGTTTTCCAGCTAGCTTCACATATGTATGCCACTGATCTAGTTCCGTATCCCGGACCCGGGATCCGGGCGGGTGCGTACCGATGGCGTTGGCCTCCTGCATGCTGAGTGAGCGTCCGTTGGCTATCCGGATGTGCCCGGGCGTCTCTAGCGAGCGGAAACAGCAGGTGAGCAGCAGCAGCTGACACCACGTGTTGATGAGCAGCGCCGTCTGGTCGTCAATCTGGCAACACAAACAGGGGGGCAGAGCGTCAGTCGGGCAACTTCAGAACGTGGGGGAGTATGAGAACACGGGATAAAGCACGCATACCTACGGTCGCTTCTACTAAAATATTCAGCATGTTACTGCAAAGTAAACAAAAAAGTGAGGAGCTTTCAACAGGCAAAGTAGTTAGACAACGATATAACGCATATATGCATGACGCACATTTCACAGGCCTACAAATTAACGAAACGTGTAAACAGCCGCCCTGATATCTGATGAGGAAGTGGTTGGCAAATGCTGGCTTGTCATCCTTGAACAGCTCAAAATAAACCAAGTCCAAAGAACAGCACGAAAAATGAAGCAATTTTAATAAACTAAATCCGCAATGCCAACAAAGGGCATATAGCGTGAGTCAAACTTACATATATTGTAATAGGTACAGTTACACCGCACTTTAGTGACGCAACCAAGGACATGTTCTTTGAACACCACCAGTCCGTTTACGGCAATCACAACCGGCCAGCAAACGGAAAACGCCCAAGGTCACTGCCGTATCAGTCAGTAAACGCGCTCTCTGCATGGCGATGCCAAGATGGCCGAATGGGCGGCGCAGCGCTCCCCAGCTCCCGACATGCATCCTAAGGTCCTGTGACCAGTGCACGTGCACAAGGCGTCAGTGATCGTGCCACCGGAGCCACTTATAGCGCCGTCAGACACCGGCGAGAGAGCACGCAAGGCTGCGGAGTCACCCCGAGGGGCCTCTCGGGTCCGCGGGCTCATTGTTTTCCACCCCGGCGGAACCTCGCATGACCAGGTATCATGTGCATATCAGCGACTGGTCAGTTTTCCTCCTTAGATCCGACTCTCCACTTGTCTTGTGCGCCTCTAATATGTAAATTACATTATCATTCACCGTCCTTACGGCGTCGTCTTCTCGGTACCTAATATGCCACTGCCGTCACTATCTAACATCCGTTTCCCGTTTTCTATCATTGGGATCCCCAAATCGCAATGTCTGAAGAAGGTGGCTGCCCTCCCCTCACTACCCCACTTCGACCTCTTCCTCTACCCTGCTCAACTCACGTGGATGTTTTTGAAGAGCGGCAGACTCTTGCACCACTTGACGATGCGGTAGAGCCGGTGGTCGGCCACGTTACAGAGGTTGCTGTAGTCGCCGGAGGCAGCGCCGGCGGCGGCGGCGGCCGCGGCGATCCCCGAGGGCTGCGCTGACGCCGGTGAGGGCACACTGTCCGCCGGCGAGGGGTGCCACAGGTGCTCCACCTCCATCATTTGCTGCGGAAAGACAGAAAAAGATGTGAGTTAGCGTGGGCTGGCAGGGAAGGTAGTGGAGCGCATCAGTACTCGCCAAAGAAAGGGAAGGTAGGGGTGCTGGCGATGTGAAGTTAGGCGGAGTCGAGTTAAAAGATTACGAGTACAAGGAACCGGCCTTGCATGACGCGTACAGAAGAATGCCTTAGTCCAAGGTTCCAAACTTCATGCTTTCCAGCTTTTTGCAAACAAGTGAGCGCAATGTCCTTTTTCGGAATGCCTTGAAGTCGCCGAAGGTCTCCTTTGTTTGATTTGTAATCCGTCACTCAGGGACGAAGAAATAAAGGTAAATTATGCTGTAGCTTCGAGAGCAGGTAACGCAGCCATTCCGTGAAACACTTTCGGAAATTCCGTCACAAACGTCTTCCCCCGTCATCTGACGGAAATGAGAAGGGACATTTTCCGCCGGCGGTGTCTGCGATCTCACCCGGGGCGACCTTCTTAACGTCCTTGTCCGGCTCGGGTCAGGGGGTCACGACGGAAAGTCAACAGTCCGCCGGCCATATCGGGACATCAAGTGCACGCCGCCAGGCGAGCGGACGGCACGACCGTCCCGTCACACCACTGGGGGAGGGGGGGGGTACCCGGATCGTCAACCGGAAACTGATTGCGCCCGCCGGCGGCGACCGAGCCATCGCGCCCAATTAGCGTCTCGGCGAGCGGCCGCACGTGCTGCAATAAAGCGCCTCCCGGCCGACCATGACGCAAGACGGGCGCTCCCCGAGCCGATGGAATTTCCCCGACCGGAGGGATAATTACCGCGCGGGTGGCGCCCGGGTGCCCGGTGGGTGTCGGGTGGCCGCCGGGTGTCTCCTCAATACCACCCAGGTGACTGGAGTGTTCCGTGAGGGGCTCTGGTCTTTTTCCGTCGGACGCCACCCGCGGCTGCCCATCGGACCTCCCAAACGTTCACCACGGGACGGCTCACGGCAGATGGCCGCTCTCCGTCTCCAATTCAATGCCCATACCGGCTGTCCACAGACACCACTGCCGGCTGTGACAGCAGCCCGTTATGCAGAGCGCCGTCGGTCCGGTCGCCGGGCCCACGTATAGAGGACGTGTCCTTGTGTGCCGGCGCCTGACCTTGGGCGCGGGGGAGGGCGGCGGGCGGGGGGGGGGGGGCACACGGGTCTCCTATCGCCGCGAATCTTTGTCGGCGCCCAGACGTTGCGCTGCCCGCCGCCGTCCTTGTATCACCTTGGGCGAGCGGCTCAGCGCCGCGGCGGTGGAAGCCGTGGCGGTGGCGGTGGCGGCGAGGCGGTGGCAGGGGAGGGAATGATGGCCAAATTTTGGAATACGCCGATCCTCCCAGGCAGTGGTCAGGTCTAAGCTCCTGTCACTGAATGGTGTATTTCGTAAATAACTAGGTACGGCCCGTTCTGTGTACGCTAGACGAGGTTACCTTAGCCTCGTGACCAGAGGTATCCAGAACAACTATAACTAGCAGAGATGCCGACACGAATACACAGTTACACCTATTGTGTACTATTTCAATGCAACAATATGCGAAATTTCTCAGAACCCGATCAATTATGCAAACGCCAAGTTCTGCTTAACGACGTTCATAACTCTGTAATGGACATCCTTAAGCTTAATAACGCCGATATAGAGCGAACAATCGCTGAGATCCGGGGCAGCGGCACGCAGCACCTTCTCAGGTTAGCTCTCTGACCTTCCAGTTCCCAAGGCGGAACTGCACGAGCACTGCAGAGCCCACCGCTAACCCCAATTCGGCCCGTATCCGTTTAGCGTCACGTGCAGGAACTGAAAGTGACATCACACTCGAGTCTCGAACCGGAGGAATATTCCCCGTAGCACGAGGATAGCCCGGAAACCGAAAATAGCCGGGTTTAATTCATTGTTAATGAGCACATGTGTATCCGCGAATGAGTGAATTATATTGTTTCCGTTTATCAATGAAACGGACTCTTACCTCATACCTGCACTTGGGCGGATGTATTAATTATTCCTAGGATTAAACGACGGTTGCATCATATCAGTTTATCTGATCTACGCATGATTAGGCATTTGCATCTGAGTCTCGTTTCCTGTAAAAGATACTGCTCAATCAAAATCATCTACCTATCCTCCTCGCTTTCAAACGCTCATTCCTTCTGCATCGTTTTCCAGCCCCCGGAGCGCTCCCTACCTTGAGCAGCGGCGGCGTGGCGGGCCGGTCGTCGGGCGAGCCGCCCTCCGAGGGCTCCATCTTTACGTGCGGCTGATGGAGCAGCTCGGAGCCGGGCGCGCCGCCGGCCAGCGACTGCGGTACCGTGTACGTGCACTGGTAGGTCGACCGGCCGCCGCGCGTCCGGTCCTCCCGAATCGCTGAGAATGGAAGGCAGAGGTCAGTGGAGGTCAATGGAGGTCAGTGGAGGTCAGTACAGAACAGACCAGTACAGACCAGTAGAGGTCAGTAGGGATCAGTGGGGTCGGCAGAAGTCAAGGTAGACCAATTCGGGTCATGTAAGGTCAATGGCGATCCGGGGAGGTCACTGCAAAGGTCAGCAGCAGCACCCTGATAGTCAAAAGGATTTGCTCGTGCATGAACCCGACGATTATTATAATAGGAACGACCCGAAACAAGCACAAACAAATAACACAGTCTAAGGTCAAGGTCAAGGTTGGGCGTAATATAACATCACTCGGAATATCATATTTTACTATATCATAGTTATTACAAGGCCAGATTTATATCACTCAGCAAGTTTATTTACCACACCAGTTATACAATTGACCAAGCTACCGTGAATTAGATTCGATAAAATCAGTACAACTAATCCGAATCGCAGCATTACCGTACTTAAACGAGCCCATGAAAGGAAAAAAGACCGTAGACACAACGCAACACAAATGGTCATGATGTGTTCACATGCGCTGATCATGTGGTTACCCCATCTAGTCGCGACCTGTCCCCGTTTTGACGTCATCCCTCGCTAGAGGCTCACGTACAACTAATTCCCTTTTATTGAGGTTACGGCTGAACTACGCGAATCGCCGCCGCCTATCTCCCATGTCATCGTTTGAAGAAGCATTTCCGTTTCCCTTTAACCTGAATTCCTCAATGGATCTGGGCACGCTCCTCAGCTTTCCAGATGCCCCCGGCCGGTTAGATCACGCCATCGGCCGGGGTGCATGCGATTGAGATCTGGCATGCAATAAAGCGATGAAGACATAGATAGTGAAAAATTCGCGAATTAGTTGCAACCGAAGAATTTTCCTTCTGCTGAGTGACAGCGAGTAGTGTGACTACGCATGTGTCTGCCGCGCCGGGTTCGTTGAACAGGCCCCATCGATCCATTGTGGGCGATTTCCATGTAAAGGTTTCCCTCCACCTGCAGCACTACTCGCCGACAGAACAATGATAATGGCCGCTGTTGAGGAAAACGCCCGCGCCGGCCGCTCGCCAGCCCAGTAGGCCGTGGCGTTGTATGCGGATCGCTGCCACGCGGGCGCAGTATGCTCGCCCAATGTCACCAATGTCACCCAGCGAAGGGCATGTATGTACAGCTGTCCGTGGCCCTCTGCGTCGTGGCCATCAGGAGCGCCGCGACCTACCGCCTCTACAGCTCCGGCAGGTAAACCTCGGCGGCCCCTCCCAGTTCCAGCGATCGGACCCCCTCTGCCCCTCCCCAGCGGCCCCACCCACCGCCCCCGGCACACCCAGTCCCACCAGCCCTGACTGTGCAGCTTTGAGAGCCGACAGCGCCTCAGGCACGGGTGCGCGGCCACAGGCCTCGCGCCGGATTACCGTAAATCACAAACAATGTATTTACGGTAGGGCCGAGTGTCCGGCCGCTGCCAAGGCTGCCGGCGCGGCCACTGCCACGGTGCGTGGGAACGGAGCCCGCTCGGCAGCCGCCGGGACACCGGTGGACACCGCTGGACGGCGGCCGGCGGCCCGGCGCGCCGCGCAGCGACCTTCTGCGCTCAGCGGCGCACGCGCGCAGGCCGCTGACTCACACCGGCCGCCTTTCATGCGCCTTGACCTTTATCGAGTCGGCTCGCGCTCCCCTCGCCTGCCCGCTCGCCGCGGTCGAGGCCCTGTCTCGCTCCCCTCGCCCGCTCGGCCACCGAGGCACTTTTCGGTCCCGGAGCCGTCTCGCCCTCACCAGGGCAGCTGGAGCTCTCGATCACAGAGAAACGTTATTTTGAGTCGTAGTTTTATCTCTGGTTTTGAAAAGCTTTGGTTGCCTATTTCGTGTTTGGTATTTTGCAGCCCCATAAACCAGCGAAACAACGTTTTCATCCTTTCATTTCTCTGACTATTTAGCTCACTTTCTCACCTTCTAGCTTCATGCCCATGTTGAGGCACTTCTCGAAGCGACAGGCGGGACACTTTTTTCTCGTGGCTATCGTCACCAGGCAGCCGGCTCCGCGCAGACACACGTAGTTCTTTTTGTTCTGAACGGTGCGCTTGAAGAATCCCTTGCAGCTCTCGCAGCTGAAGATGCCGTAGTGGAAGCCGGAGATTTTGTCGCCGCAGACGGGGCAGGGGCTGTTGATGAGCTGCTGCCGGCTGATGCCCGACTGTCCGGAGAGCGCCGAGTGAGCGGCCAGCTCGGCGGCCAGCTGCGACTTGTCGTCGCAGCTCTCCGAGTCCGACTGGGTCAGGTTGAGCGGGTGCTGGCCCAGCAGGTGCTCCATGTGCCGGCCCAGCATGGGGCTCTGCCGGTACAGGTGCCGACTCTGACCCGGGGAGGCCGCCGGCGAGTACTGGCCGCCCGGGGAGGACACCGACGAGCACGAGTACTGGGAGCCGCCGTACTGCGACGCGTCCGAGTTGTTGCGCGACAGGCCCGTGCTGGGCGTGTGCGAGTAGGGCGAAGAGTAGCCGGAGAAGTGTCGCGCCTGCAGCGGCGAGGCGGTGGGGGAGTACATGCGGCCCGCCCGGGACAGGTCCGGGGAGTTGTGGTAGCCGTGGCTGGCGCGGGACAGCGGCGGAGACGCGCTGGGAGTGAACGGGCCAGAGTGGTTCACCTCACAGCCCGAGTCGCTGCGCGTCGGCCCCGGACTGCTCGGCCGGTCACTGTCCGTCTGCGGGAGAGACGGGGTCAGGGGTCAGAGGTCAATGGTCAACAGTCAGAGGTCATGAAATGTCAGACTGATGTCACATTATGATGCTTAGGGGTCAATCAAGAGTGTATGGGATGGCAGACTGAATTCGAATGATGACACTCAGCGGTCAACGGTTTGGAGTCATGCATTGCCGGTCTTGGGTCGTATGATATCGGAGGTCATAGTCACCTATCAGAGGTCACACAGAGTATGGCTGACAGTCATTTCAAGGTCGCAGACTGAGCAACGAACATTTTACACATAGATACGAGGAAACAGTCACACGCCAAAATGACATCAGTGTTGAAGTATGAAGGCTGTAACCTTCAAATGAAAACGAACGAAAGGTTGATTCGGTGTGATAGCAAATGGACAGCACCCACGATGAACATTTATCATTGCCAGAGTTTGCAGATGTCATGCCTGATAATAACACCTTCCTAACCCAAAAAGGCAGACCGCAAATTAATATTAGCCGCCGAACACTCAATGTCTGCACCAGACTGCTTTTGCACGTTTCGCTGCTTTTTGACAATCAGTTCTCGAAGGAAAGCGGTGGTTGCGGGGGTTCCTTATGCGCAATATCCAGACATTATTCGGTCTTGCAGTAGGTAACGCTCAAGTGACAGTACCTATGTGATAGCCGATAGGGCGGCTTCGTATTGCGGGACAGGTCTGTTCCATTTCTACACAAATACAAATATCTGCCTCCGCATCAGCAATCTGATGTTTTATGGGTCAATATCACCAGAAGGTTGATAATTAACTGAGAGTTAGGCAAGTCGTAATCAAGTACCCGACCATCGTAACCCGTTGCCGCGTACCTTTGAATTAGCTAGATCTGTGTCGGTGAAGAGCTGATGTTCCCTCGACCCCGTGCTGGTCACCATGTCGTCGTATTCCTGTTTGATGGCCTGCAAAAACAGAGAGGAGACCGCTGTCAGCTCCACTCGGGACACTCGGCACAGATGCAACGTAGTCATTTACGAAACAGTGGGCTATATATGAACATTAGAGAAGGGAATATATGTTTCGCATCTAAGAAGACAAGGCACAGCTTTTAAACAGGATAAAGCAAAACTGGACTTTTTTTCTAATAGACCATCACTCAAACGTCACTTCTCTCACGACAAAGTGACACCGGAATTCCTCATGACAATTGAATCAGAGCACTATCATATTTCTGCTGTGTGGAGAAAAGTCAGTCAGCTGTCACTGAGCTTCCTTGGCGACAAGGCACATTCAGCGCACAGTGCACACGGCAGGCAGCACAGACTGTCACCCGTCAGCAGCAGGTCCATAAAACCACATAAAACTGCCGACCGGCCACTATTACAATGACGCTCGGTGCACGAGTCAGTTAAATCGAACCCTTTCAGCCTGTGAGTGGTCCCATCCAGCTCTCAGAGAAAGGTGTTGGCCAGACAGCTGCTCACGTCTTGAGATAAATCCCTCATCTAGACACTGCTGGGCAACGAGTCGAGCCGATATTTAACACACGGAGAACAAAAATCGGACCGTTTTACCGACCACAGAATGTGCTCTCGCCGCTCACAGTCGGTTAAGCGCACGTTTATGGCCGAAAAAACCGTTTGGTGACATTCAGCACGCCATTCTCCGAAGACAGAGTGCCGGAGTGTCAACATCAGTCACTCCCACGCACTCAGGAGTGTCAGCCCTGCGCAGTGATCTGTGAAAACACCAATCCCGAGATATATGTGGAATTCGCCCCAGTATGATTACTTTTTCGGCGTGCTGCAAATTTATTTTGACAGCTCGTGTGCCCTCGTACACAGATACCATGTTTGTGGAGGATTAAACCCTCTGCGTGCACTGGGACGTCCAGTCGGGAGGTACCGCCGACTCCCCGGCACGCCAGAGCCGACTCCCGGCCGGTGCAGCTGGCTCGTCTCAGAGGACATCTGCCGTGCTCTTGCGGTGCTCCCGTGGATGCCTCGAGCGGGAACCGGTTTCATACATAGTGTCATGGCCATTCCGGTCTCATTAAAACGACGTTAGAGACGTCAGCCGACGTCTGACATAGACTGAGGAGCGCCGCCGGGTCGTTCTGACCGATCGGACAACCGACCGGCAACAGTTACGGACGTCCTTAGGAGCGGTAGGCTTCGAGACGGCATTTCGAGCCGAATGATGATCTAATGTAAGTGATGACGCTTGACAAACTCTAATCGATGGACTTAAGAGGCTTACGCGAACGGTGAATTCAAATTCTGCCAGAGGAAATAAGCAAATGAGCTGACATCATGCTTGTCCTATGCACTTCCCTTTATTTGCCGACTTGCAACACTGATTGGGAATGTTGCTCGTCGCATATTTACATGCCTCACCCTTCATTTTCGCTGATGGTCGGCACCCAGGAGTCACACCCCTTCCGCAGCACATGCACAGATGTGGCACAGATGTGTGTAATTTGTATTCCTCATATTGCACCGACAGCACTTGCCTAGTTATTTAACAGGACGTCCTTCTAAAATATCCACCTCCCACCCTGTCCCTCCCGCTACCCACCCTTCACCGGAAGGCGCACCCGCGATCCTGCGTCAGACCGCCCGGCCGACACGGCACGGGCCGACTCCGACGCAGTCGTTCACTCCAAATAAGACCAACGACCGTTGTTGGCCCGTGGACGCTCCTTCCCCGTGTCTATCGTCTCGTATAAGGTACCGAACACGGCCGGAGGCCCCCGAACAGCGCATCTGCATTTAAAATACCACAGGACTCGTGCCAGTCGCGCTCGTCGGGCCTAACTCGACCAAACAACGGCAATCCGGCGCTCATGGTCGATCACGAGCCTTGTAAGGACGCAGGAAATCACGACTCACGAGTCACGAGTCAGGAGTCATGAATCACGGATCATGACTCATAGATCACGAGTCGTGTTTCGTATGTCCCGCGGAGTGTTAGGTAGCTAAACGGACTCGGCGACGGAGCACGGAGCCTGAAAACATGGCGACATGACCACAGCGGACCGCTGGGCAGACGGACATGACATGCATAGCCAACAACGAACCACCGCAACAAACGCCGTCGCAGTTTTGCAACGCGCTGCAACCAGCTCGCCGCGCAAACAATCACCTTGGCTGCTGCGGCGGCGGCGGCGGCGGCGCGGAGCCGGTATCAGCTTAGCCAGGAATGCCGCGATCCGCAGCGCTCGTGCCGACCTCGTGCAGCGCGCCGCTTACACCGGCCCGGTCATGACTGTCGGGTGTCGCAAAAAGACGGCTCTGAACGCCGCCGCCGCCGCCATCGGGAATACGATTCAACCCTCATTCGACTTTTTTGCGCTCGAATTCGACTTTGCGCAAAATAAAACGACAGCGCTTAAAAGCGACAGTTGCCGCAAATTGCACACTCAAACTGCGCTGAAATACGACATTTCTTTCATGTCGCAAAATCTTCAAAGTTATGCATTCTAGGAAGCTCGCTGCAATGAAAAGAGGTAAATTTAGCCCCCCGGAATATGTGATAGTATCAGGACACTGTTTGATTCCGCCACAAATGAGAAAAACGCGATGCAGAACGATGCGGTGAAACTGCGCTCATTCGCGACAAATCGTGGGTAAATTGCGCCTGTATTCAACAGTCCTGTTGGAGCCTGAGTGGTCGAGCACTTTCCGTTTTTCTGTTCTCATTCGTTTATTTCGTAACCAATCTTTAAAAAATGATGCTCATTTGAAAGAGATTTTCTCGCTCGTCATTTCTGATGCATAATGCATACATTTGGTACATCACACTCACAACCATATGTACTTGAATTTTCAGATGAAGGATTTTGCCGCGAAGACGGAGTGGGTGTCGTATACCTTACCTAGATGTTGAGCTGGAATTCGGTGAACAAGTTTTTTTAAAATAATGACCTGAAGGTGACCCAAACACTTTTAATTGATAGGTGTGTTTGCAAAACGCATTCCGACAGCTTTTTTTCTGCTTTTAACACTGTATTTTTCTCGAAATACCTGTTTGAATAATTTTCCCGAGTCGACTTCAGGCGCAATTATCAGACACTTAGCCTAAAAACGACACTACCGAGTCAGATAAAAGCGCACTGCGCCATTTTACGACACTCTGCAGTATGATCCGAGCGCATATGCGCCCTTTCCAGACACTTTTATGTTTGATTTGGGCGCATTGCACTTACACTTGACGGCACAATTTACTTGACAGAGGCGGCTTCAGCCACTGGTTTTGTGGATTTAATGCCTTTTATGCTATACTTTAGCATGTTTAGATGTTAACGATCAGTTTTGTTGTATTTACTCTATGCACATACTTACCTGTTGCTTGCGCGGGACCCCTCTTCATTAGGCCTGTTATGCGTAAAGTATTAGCGGAGGGGATTTCCTTCGCACTGGTGTATGTGCTGCCAAATGTGTCCGTGTGGCGCTCAGCTGGTCGGTGTTGGCCGAGATATGAATGCATAGGTGTATGCAAGGCGGACGGCTCCAGTGGCGGTCGCAGGGGGGGGGGGACATCAGGGCCATGCCCCCCCAAAAGGCAAATCAGGGGGGCATCATATCATTTGCCCCCCCCCCCCCAAACAACCGATGGGCCCCCATGGCCGTATGGGGCCCTGGCCCGTATTCGATTGTCACGAGGCTCGAGAAACCCACGCCAGCTATTAACAGCTCCTATACCAGTCTTTGAGGGTCCTACACTGACCTCTGAGAGCCCTTCAGTGGCGGTCAAGCGTCCACATTGACCGCTGAGGACCCACATTGACCTCTGAGGGCCCTCCACTGGCCTTTAAGGGCCCCTAAACCGGCCTCAGGGGCCCATCCGGCGTCTGATAGCCTCACGCCGGCCTCTGGTGGCCTCATTTCTGTCTCTCTAGTCCCAAGACTAGCCTTTAAGTGCCTCTGAGGGCCCCGCACTGGATTCTGAAGACCCGATGTCGGCCTCTAAGAGCCCGCATCGGCCTCTGGGGGCCCATTTTGGCCTTTGAGGGCCCTCCGCTGGTCTCTGGGGTCCAACGCCGGCCCATGCCGGCCTTTAAGGGCCCCACACTGACCTCTAAGGGCCCCATGCTGGCCTGTAAGGACCCACATTAGCCTCTGAGGGCCCCTGCACTGGATTCTGAAGACCCAATGCCGGCCTCTCAGGGCCCGCATCGGCGTCTGAGGGCCCATCTTGGCCTTTGAGGGCCCTCCACTGGCCTCTGGGGTCCAACGCCGGCCCATGCCGGTCTTTTAGGGCCCCACACTGACCTCTGAGGGCCCATGCTGGCCTGAAAGGACACACATTAGCCTCTATGGGCCCTGCACTGGATTCTGAAGACCCCATGCCGGCCTCTAAGGGTCAGCATCGGCTTCTGAGGGCCCATCTTGGCCTTTGAGGGCCTTCTGTTGGCCTCTGGGTTCCAACGCCGGCCAATGCCAGTCTTTTAGGGTCCCATTCTGACCTTTGAGGGCCCCATGCCGGTCTGTATGGGCCTACATTAGTCTCTGAGGGCCCCCCGCACTGGATTCTGAAGACCTGATGCCGGCCTCTAAGAGCCCGCATCGGCTTCTGAGGGCCTATCTTGGCCTTTGAGAGCCTTCTGTTGGCCTCTGGGGTCCAACGCCGGCCCATGCCGGTCTTTTAGGGCCCCACACTGACCTCTGATGGCCCGTGCTGGCCTGTAAGGACCCACCTTAGCCTCTGAGGGCCCCGCACGGGCTACTGAAGACCTGATGCCGGCCTCTAAGAGCCCGCATCGGCCTCTGGGGGCCCATTTTGGCCTTTGAGGGCCCTCTGCTGGTCTCTGGGGTCCAACGCCGGCCCATGCCGGCCTTTAAGGGCCCCACACTGACCTCTAAGGGCCCCATGCTGGCCTGTAAGGACCCACATTAGCCTCTGAGGGCCCCTGCACTGGATTCTGAAGACCCAATGCCGGCCGCTCAGGGCCCGCATCGGC